TGGTTGGGATGGGTTTGGGATTGGTTTGGGATTGTTTGGGACGGTTGGGATGTTTGGGATGGGTTTGGGATTGTTTGGGATTGTTTGGGATGGGTTTGGGATTGGTTTGGGATGGCTTTGGGATGGTTTTGGGATTGTTTGGGATGTTTGGGATAGGTTTGGGATGGGTTTGGGATGGTCAGGATGGGTTTGGGATGGCTTTGGGATGGCTTTGGGATTGTTTGGGATGTTTGGGATGGGTTTGGGATTGTTTGGAATGTTTGGAATGTTTGGGATGGGTTTGGGATTGTTTGGGATGTTTGGGATTGGGCTGCTTGGGCAGGGCTGGGATTTGGGATCAGCTTTGGGTGATCCCAGCATGGGAACGACGCCCCCATCTTGATCCCAGTCCATTCCCGATCCCGCCATTCCCGATCCCGCCGTTCCCGCCGCTCCAGGGGTGCAGATGTTCGTCTCCAACCGGGAGCAGTTCGGGTTCCTGCCGGTGCCGCTCCCGTCCCGGAGCTCCCTGCGCGACGAGGCCGAGAACTTCCTGCACGTCCAGCTGGAGATCATGGGTCAGATCCCCAGGGATCCCCAGGGATTCGGGGCTGATTCCCACGGGATTTGGGGCTGATTCCCACGGGATTCGGGGCTGAATCCTTTGGGATTCGGGGCTGATTCCTCTGGGATTTTGGGGCTGAATCCTTTGGGATTCGGGGCTGAATCCTCTGGGATTTGGGGCTGAATCCTTTGGGATTTTGGGGCTGAATCCTTTGGGATTCGGGGCTGAATCCTTTGGGATTTGGGGCTGAATCCTTTGGGATTTGGGACTGAATCCTCTGGGATTTGGGACTGAATCCTTTGGGATTCGGGGCTGATTCCTCTGGGATTCGGGGCTGAATCCTTTGGGATTTGGGGCTGAATCCTCTGGGAGTTTGGGACTGAATCCTTTGGGATTCGGGGCTGAATCCTCTGGGATTCGGGGCTGAATCCTTTGGGATTCGGGGCTGAATCCTTTGGGATTTGGGGCTGATTCCTCTGGGATTCGGGGCTGATTCCTTTGGGATTTGGGGCTGAATCCTTTGGGATTTGGGACTGAATCCTTTGGGATTTGGGGCTGAATCCTTTGGGATTCGGGGCTGATTCCTTTGGGATTCGGGGCTGAATCCTTTGGGATTTGGGGCTGATTCCTCTGGGATTCGGGGCTGATTCCTTTGGGATTTGGGGCTGAATCCTTTGGGATTTGGGACTGAATCCTTTGGGATTTGGGACTGAATCCTTTGGGATTCGGGGCTGATTCCTTTGGGATTCGGGGCTGAATTCTTTGGGATTTGGGGCTGAATCCTTTGGGATTTGGGACTGAATCCTTTGGGATTTGGGACTGAATCCTTTGGGATTCGGGGCTGATTCCTTTGGGATTTTGAGGACCAATTCCCACAGGATTTGGGACCAGTTCCTTTGGGATTTTGGGTCTGATTCCCACGGGATTTGGGGCTGAATTCTTTGGGATTTTTGGGACTGATTCCTTTGGGATTTTGGGGCTGAATCCTGCTGAATCCTTTAGGATTTTGGGGCTGAATCCTTTGGATTTTGGGGCTCATTCCCACGGGATTTTGGGGCTCATTCCCCTGGGATTTTGGGAACCAATTCCTTTGGGATTTTGGGGTCCATTCCCACGGGATTCTCCCGTTCCCGCAGTGAAGCTCCCTCCGGCTGAGCCCTCCCCCAACGTTTGGGTCCCTCCCAAGGTCCTGGACAAGCTGGGATTCGATGAGGTGAATTCCCTGGATTTTCCCATTTTCCCCTGGATTTTGGGTGGATTTCCCCTGATTTCCCCATTTTTTCCTGGATTTTGGGTGATTTCCTCATTTTCCCCTGGATTTTGGGTGGATTTCCCCTGATTTTCCCCTGGATTTTGGGTGAACTTTCCCTGATTTTCCCCTGGATTTTGGGTGAATTTTCCCTGATTTTCCCCTGGATTTTGGGAGAACTTTCCCTGATTTTCCCCTGGATTTTGAGCGGATTTTCCCTGATTTTCCCCTGGATTTTGAGCGGATTTTCCCTGATTTTCCCCTGGATTTTGGGAGAACTTTCCCTGATTTTCCCCTGGATTTTGAGCGGATTTCCCCTGATTTTCCCCTGGATTTTGGGTGGATTTCCCCTGATTTTGCCCTGGCTTTTGGGTGAATTTTCCCTGATTTCCCCTGGATTTTGAGCGGATTTCCCCTGGATTTCCCCTGATTTCCCCATTTCCCCCCTGGATTCCGGCTGAACCCCCCGTTCCCTCCCTGATCCCCGCTGGATTTCCCCCTTCCCCGCCGGCATCCCCGGGAATTCCGCCCTTCCCAGGTTTTCCTGATCAACCTGCGGCGCCGCTCGGACCGGCGGGCGCGGATGCTCCGGACGCTGCGCGAGCTGGGAATCGCCCCCAAGCTGGTGGAGGCCGTGGACGGGCGGTGAGCGCCGGGAGAGGGCCGGGAATTCCCGGGATTGGCTGGGAATTGGCTCCCGAGCCGCCTTCCGGAACGTTCCAGGGCGCTGAACAGCAGCCAGGTGGAGGCGCTGGGGGTGCGGATGCTGCCGGGGTATCGGGATCCGTTCCACGGCAGGCCCCTGACCCACGGCGAGATCGGCTGCTTCCTCAGCCACTTCCGCGTCTGGCAGGAGGTCAGGGAGCTCGGGAATCCCTCGGGAATTTGGGGGAATTTTTGGGGGAATTTTGGGGAATTTTGGGGGGGAATTTTTGGGGAATTTTTGGGAATTTTTGGAGATTTTTTGGAATTTTTGGGGGGATTTTTTGGGAATTTTTGGGGGGAATTTTTTTGAATTTTGGGGATTTTTTTTGGATTTTTTTGGGATTTTTGGGGATTTTTTGGGAATTTTTTGGAATTTTTGGGGGGAATTTTTTTGGAATTTTGGGGAATTTTTTTGGATTTTTTGGAATTTTTGGGGGGATTTTTGGGAATTTTTTGGGAATTTTTGGGGGGATTTTTTGTGGATTTTTTTTTACATTTTGGGATTTTTGGGGGATTTTGTTGGAATTTTTTTTTGTGTTTTCTGGGGGACTTTTTGGGAATTTGGGTGGATTTTGGATGAAGTTGGGGTGGATTTGGGTGGGTTTGGGGTGGATTTGGGGTGGATTTTGAGTGGATTTGGGCAGATTTTGGGTGGATTTGGATGGATTTGGGTGGATTTTGGGCGGATTTGGTGGATTTTGGATGGATTTGGGTGGATTTTAGGTGGATTTGGGTGGATTTTTGGCAGATCCGGGTGGATTTTGGGTGAATTTGGTGGATTTTGGGTGAATTTGGGCAGATTTAGGTGGATTTTGGGTGATTTTGGGCAGATTTAGGTGGATTTTGGGTGGATTTGGGTGGATTTTGAGTGGATTTGGGCAGATTTTGGTGGATTTTGGGTGGATTTGGGCAGATTTTGGTGGATTTTGGGTGGATTTTGGGTGGATTTGGGCAGATTTTGGTGGATTTTGGGTGGATTTGGGCAGATTTAGGTGGATTTTGGGTGAATTTGGTGGATTTTGGGCGGATTTTGGGTGGATTTTGGGCAGATTTAGGTGGATTTTGGGTGGATTTGGGTGGATTTAGGCAGATTTTGGGTGGATTTTGGGTGGATTTGGGCAGATTTAGGTGGATTTTGGGTGGATTTGGGCAGATTTGGGTGGATTTTGGTGGATTTTGGGTGGATTTGGGTGGATTTAGGTGGATTTTGGATGAATTTGGTGGATTTTGGGTGAATTTGGTGGATTTTGGGTGGATTTGGGCAGATTTTGGGTGGATTTAGGTGGATTTTGGGTGGATTTGGTGGATTTTGGGCGCTCCCAGATCGCCGAGCGGGGCCTGCAGCGCTCGCTGGTGTTCGAGGACGATTTGCGCTTCGAGGTTTTCTTCCGGAGCCGCCTGACGGAGCTGATGGAGCAGCTGGAGCAGGCGGGGATCTCCTGGGACCTCATGTGAGCCTTCATCCTCCTCATCATCCTCATCCACGTCATCCTCCTCATCCTCATCATCCTCCTCATCCTCCTCATCCTCATCCTCCTCCCCATCCTCATCATCCTCCTCCTCATCCTCTTCATCCTCATCATCCTCCTCATCCTCCCCATCCTCCTCATCCCTGTCCTTTGGGACCTCGTGTGAGCCTTCATCCTCCTCCTCATCCTCATCATCCTCCTCACCCCACTGCTCCCCATTTCCTGAGGCCTCTTGGATCCCACTGACCCCACTGATCCCGATAATCCCATTGATCCCTGATCCCATTGATCCCTGATCCCATTGGTCATTGATCCCATTGATCGATCTTGATAATCCCACTGACCTCACTGATCCTGACCCCGATCCTGACCCCATTGACCCCTGACCCCAATCCTGACCCCACTCCTGACCCCAATCCTGACCCATTGACCCCATGACCCCAATCCTGACCCCGTGACCCCAATCCTGACCCCATTGACCCCTGACCCCAGTGACCCCTGACCCCAATCCTGACCCTGTGACCCCAATCCTGACCCTGTGACCCCAATCCTGACCCCGTGACCCCGCAGTTACCTGGGCCGGAAGCGTCTGGAGCCGGCGGGTTCGGAGCGATCCCACCAATGCCCCTGACCCCGATCC